TGCCCCGTAGAACTCAGAGCCTGGAACAGAATGTGTGCTTCGGGCTGGCGTCTGGCTCCCAGGAGCGGGGAAGCGGGCAGTGTCTGAGCCTCCGTGCCCACTTCTCTTATTAAAGCCTCCATTGGAGCAGTCGCTCCACCGCCCCTGGGGAAGAGTGAGTGAAGGGATAGAAAAAGGCCTTCGCTGCCACTCCAGGGGGCTCCTCCACATGGAAGGAAACACTGGGAGTGGGAGATGAGTCTCCTCCTGGCAGGAACAGTCCTCCGTACTGCACTCTTCATTTGCTCGTTTACTTCCCTCACCAGACTGTGGGGTCCTTGGAGCAGAGACACTCCCAGCACCCATCCCAGCATCTGGCATCAGTAGATGTTCAGGAAGGGCAGGAATGAATGAACTCTCTCCTCTTCTAGCCCCAGTGTTCCCCTCAAGTAGCTCCTTTTCAGGGCTGGGAAGGATGCCTTTTCCTCTCATTTTATCCTCTTCATTGCACCCGAGGTCACGCCTTTGTCATGTTTTCCCGGTCCTCTCCATTTTCTGTATTATGGCGGGTCAGACAAGAGGGGAGGTATTGCTGGATGACTCAAGAAACATTCTTCCCAAGGTCAAACTATTCCTCCCACACTCCTGGGCCAAGTTCTGGCTGTGAACAGGTACGGGGAGCTGTGGGTGCCATGTGGGAAGAGGCAGCCCCCAGCCGTAGTCCTGCTGCCCCATCCGTGATGGCTAACAATGCCTGCCTTATCCACCTTGGTGAGGATCACAGAGAGCGGCATTGGGAAGTCACTTTGGAAAGTGGAAAGTACTTTATGGACAGTGGAATCTGTGGAAATGTGCTAGAGGAAATTCATGGCATTGAAGCAGTAAAAGATGGTCTGGACCCCGCTGGGGTAGCAGAGGAGGACAGCGCCTCTACAGGCATTCGCTGGTAGTGTTCCACATGTTTGCTTGCTTGGTAACACTGGAGGGTATGTCCCAGTGGGAGCTAGATTTCCAGGCTGGCCCACAAAAGCCTGTACAACTCATCATATAATAATATTTAAGAAGTATCTACTAGCTCTAGGTATGTGCTAGACACGTTAAATATATTATCTTAGTCCTTTACAATAACCCATCACAGGAGAATCATCCCCCTTTTTACCAGTAAAGAAATTGAGATTTATCAAGATCAAATTACTCGCCCAAGGTCACACAGCCGGTGAGTACTAGAACTGACCCACAGTGAGGGATTAAGTGTGACGCCATAGTAAGTGTCATTCTTGTAGAGGGTGGGGGGACTGTGCACAGCAGGGATGGGGAGAGCTGGGAGTTTGGAGGGACTGCAGATCTTCTATGGAGATCATCTATACAGTCAGCCATTCATGGCCACTCACCTTTGGGATGCCCTAACCCAGAGAAGAGTGGCCTTTTCACTCCCAGCTCTTTCTGAGCTCCACAGTGAGGTCAGCCCTGGCCTAAAAATGCCAATCTGGTCTTCCGAGATGCTGGGTGAATGAAGCGAGCAGGATCCCAACTGTCTGAGGCCAGGGGCTTCTCAAGGGCGCTGGCTCCAGTGTTGGAAGCCCTGGGCTGTAGGCCACTAGCTCAGGGGGATTAACATGCCAGCAATGCCTGACCTTCCGCAGGGTCTGAAAGTTGGCAATTGTTTAGACATGTTACAGCCTAACAAAGGGCCTGACACCTGTAGTCTTTCAGTTAGAATTTAATAAATGTTTGAGGAAACTTGAAAGTTTTAGACAAGCATTTCGATATTGAATGTGGAAGGATTCTTTTTTGTCATTTTTGTCCACTCCAGATCCTAAGGGTTTCATGGACATGGGGCTAAGAGAACAACAGACTTAAGGTTCCAAATGGAGGAGAAAAACTAAACGGAATTAGCTTGGTAGAGAATGATCAGGTGCTATTCACTTTTGGGATTTCGGGTCATGTCTGGGGATCTGTCATCATAATTCTCCCTGGTTGAGATTGTCGGAATCATGTTTTGGGGAAATGGTTTTGGTTGTATCACTGACTTTTCAGTGCCAGCTCCTCTTCCCTAGCAGGGTCTGTCCCCGACCTGCTCCCTCTGTACCCAGCTCTGGCTGCCCAGAACTAATGAGAATCAAGGTCATTACTGCCCATCCTGCATTTACTGGGTGCTGTTAGACCTTTACTGCGCTAAGCCCTCGGCCTTCATCACCTCATTTGTCCTCCCAACAGAGGACAGCTATTATCAAGCTACCATTTCCTGACCTCACCACCATCAGTCTAATGTCAGCTCCGTCTTCTTCCTGGCCGTTTTAAGCTTTGATTAGTCTCTCCCTCCTCTGCATTTCGGCTACACTCCATACAGAGCCCTGGCATAGTGCACATTTTGTGGCATTGTATAATCAGTCTGTGTGTTTACTCATCCATTCTTTCATTCAATTCGTATTTATAGAGTACCTCCTGTGTGCTCTCCATTGCCCTCTTTGGACCTGGAGGTCCTTTAGAGCAAGAGGCCAGGCCTTGTTCTTACTGTATCCCCAGCACACAGCACTGTGCCTGGCTCATAGTAGATCCTCAGGAAATGTTTACTGAGAGAAGGCCTCTAAGTGATGTGTAGTCCTAGAACAATCTTCTTTCAGTTCTTCCAACCCCAAATACTGGAGAATGGGAAATCTGTCCCTTAGCTCTTAGTTTGGTGGGAAAATACAGGTGAGATTCTAGGTGCTTGACTCTCAGTGATCCACCTTAGTAGAGGAACAAAGTGGCAGTTAACCCCAAAGAGCCAGTAATGTCAGCGTCATTCATCATGAGCTATGGGTGTTCATTCATTTTTTCAGTAGATGTTGAGCACCCTGAGAGCAGGCTCTATGCTGGGAGCTAGAGCCGCAGAGATGAATAAGACACACACACACGTACAACCCACAACCTAAAGAGATCATCAGACTAGGTGAAGAAGTGGTGAATTAAGGTCAGAATGGTTCATTGAGACCACAGCTAGGGAGACTTTTAGGAGGAGGTGAGATCAGAGAAAGCTGTCTAGAGAAGATGTCATTTGAGCTGAACCCTGAAGAGGAGTAGAATTTGGACTTGGGGAAGAAGGTGGAAAAAAATTCCCCATGAGCAAAGGCATAGATGTGGGAGGTTGTGTTTTCGGGGAGCACAAATGTCATTCAGATAATTAATTTGTCACTAACTGGCAGGGGTGAGACAAAGGTGACCCTCGTTACCATGAGCACATCACTATAATGTTTTATTTCCTTCTCCCTAGCACTCCTTCCTCCTGCCCAAAAAATTAGTTCTGCTAAGTTATATTGTGAAAGCCTCTGTCCCTTAAAGGACAGGAGTAGGAGAACCTTCTGAGGAGTGAAGCCCTGTCTGGGCAGTCACATGGATTCTTGGTCCTTCGGCCCCATGCCCCAAATGCTCCCACAGGAGCCCTTCATGTAAAGGCCCCTCTGCCTCTCAACCATGTTCTGGGAAGGAGTCTCCTGGGTCACCCATGAGTTTCTAGAAGATGTAGACACTGCAGGCAGCTGCCTCACTCCATCAGCAGGAGGAGGCCAGAGAGGCAGCTTAGTCACTCACATCATTTTATCTGTTGAGTCAACATCTATTTTTAGGTTTGGAACCCATAAAGGGACCTGGCATCTCTGCCATATAAAGGGAGAGAGTGCCACGGATGAGGGGTCTGCTTATCCTTCATGCTCTTTGCTAGACCCAGCCTCTCCCCTGAAGGTCTCAGAAGCAGGTCCACTTTACAACTGGAGGTTTAGTTCTTAATGTCAAAGATCCAGTTTAACATGTGCAATTCTTTTTCACATATACTTTTGTATACGTGCACACATAGGCACACACACACTCTCACCCCTACAATCTTAATAGGTCTTGTGAATTGGTTATATGGAATAAATAAAAAATGCTAAGGCATTATAGGTCCTTTCCTGTCCAATGTTGTCAGATGTGCTCTGAAATGACTGTTTTCATCATCTATTCTGAGCCATAACCACCCCAGAAATAGCTTTAGCAGGAAAGTGCTTTTGTTAGACTAGCTGTAAATTATATTTCAAATGTCTGATGTTGTTTTCTTAAAAAATAAATAAATAAGTAAATGAAAGTCTAAAATTAATGACTGCTGGGGTTTGCTTTGCTTATGTGTACTGCTACAGATTTGGCTTCTTGCAGATGGAATTTCAGATCTGTTTACACTTCTGTGTTAGCTTTTTGGGGGAAAAAAAAGCAGTTGAGCGATCTGGGAGGACAAATTTACAAAGTCGAACTTATTATAACCATCGGTGAGGCTCTCTTCTCTGTCTCACTGCCCTTTCACTCCCTCCTTTCTACCGTGCCCCCGTTTTTGTTTGTTGTGGTTTTATCTGCCCTGCCTCAAAGTTAGAGGCAACTGGTCCTTGCAGATGTGACAACAAGGTCGCATATCCAGTTTCACAAGCAGATGTTCATTCAGCCCTATTTCACCAGCACTTTGTCATTCAGTGAGAGCAGACCTCAGGGGAACAGATTGGAGCAACACAAAGGATGGGACATAAAAAATCTTGCAGAGAACCTGATCGCTTTTATGTATTCAAGAAGAAGGGGATGGGGGTAGGGAGGGTGGCAAGGAGAGAAATGTGCAGAGCAGAATTTCATGGGGTTTTTTTGGCTTATTCAAAGATTATTATGTGTTGGATACAGTAAATCATCTATACACCCACATCCAGGAGGTAAATCTTCAGAACTCCATGCGTGGGTAGCTCTGCATTTAACAGCTGCCATACAGTAGCTATTTTGTTCTGCACTTAGAGACCCTTATCTGTGCATTTGTTTTAAGTTATCATCAACTCTCCTCTTGTTCCTCTATTGCTGTTCTCCTGGTTCTCATTACTATTACAAGAGTAGCTAAAAATCTGAACTACTGAGTGATTTAAACTGACACCATGAGTTGTGACGGTAGATGAGGGGCTGTCATCTTGCTTGTTGACGCAGTCTCGTCTCTGAAGGTGATGACCTATAATGGATTTAGCTCCTCTTGCCTTTCCTAGGTCTCATATGCCCGTCCAAGCTCTGCCTCAATCAGGGATGCTAACCTCTATGTTAGCGGCCTTCCCAAAACCATGACCCAGAAGGAACTGGAGCAGCTTTTCTCGCAATACGGCCGTATCATCACCTCACGAATCCTGGTTGATCAAGTCACAGGTTAAGTGTTTCTTTGTAATTTCTTCCTTGTATCCCGATATCACCAGCCAGCACGCCCTGTTACCTATAAGAACAGAAGGCTAATGGTTGCTTAAGGCAGAGGATATGGGTCATGAATAGACAGATGTTCGACTTGGGAGAAAGACTTCTTATTCTGCCCAAATGTAAAATGGGCCATCTTGGGAGGTAGGAGTTCTCTCCATCACGGATTACTTATTTGAGCAGCAGCTAAACGACTTGGCAGAGTTGTAAAGAGGATTCAGGCATCAGGTTGAGAGTGGGACTATACGACCTTCAAAGTCTCTTTCAGCCCTCAACCAAGTAGCATTACTTTTGTATGTGTAAAGAACCTGTGTATATAGCTGTAGCTCCAATTCGTAGCATTATCAAGTGAGAAGGAACCTCAAACTGCCCCATTTCACACAAAACAAATCTTCACTGAAGCTGGCTCTGCCCCAGACACTGTGCAGAGGCATGCCAGAGACAAAGGATGAAGGAGGCACAGTCACCACCCTTACAGGACTCCAGTGTGACAAGTATCTGCTGGGGGCTGTCAAGTATCCCCCCACCCCGCCGTGAGAGCTCAGGAGGTGTGTTATGCCTGGTGGGAATTGTCGGGAAGGCTCCATTGAGGAGGCAATGTTCGAATGGGGTTTAGGAGGATGATTTGAAGCTATCTGGCAAAAAAAGAGGGATAGAACATTCTAGGTAGAGAGGACATCATATCCCAAGACATAGAATCAAGGAAGAACACAACATGTTCAAGGAGTGGCGGGCAGTTCAGAGTGGCGGGTGTGAGGCTCAATAGGGTATTTGGAGCCAGATTGCCAGGGACACTGAATGCTGTGCCAAGAGGTCAGGACTTTATCTGTATACAGCAGGAAGCCATGGAAGGGGATTTTATGGGTTTTGTTTGTTATTCTGTTTGGAATGGGGGCAGTGAAGAATAGGTACCACGCACAAGGTAAAAATTTCAAAAGGTACAAAAGAGGTATAGAAGATGTTTTTAAAAGGTGTGATGTGGTCAGAGTTTGCTCTTCAAATAGATTACTTACTTGCTAGGTGTGGAGGACACATGCAGGACTAGAAACTGGACAGTGGGTGATCAGTTACAGTCACTTATTGGAGATGAGACCTGAGCAGGGCAGTAGTGGAGGGCTAGAGGGGACGGATGTAAGAGATCCCTATGTTCCGTTGGTGGGAGGCATCTGTCTAAAGCCATGGTGGCAGAAATGCAGGTAGACGTATCATTGACAGGTGAGAGAGATTCAGGGAGCTAGGCTCAGCCCTGACCCCAAAAGTGGGCCGACTCCCCACAGTGTGCACGGGGCCCAGTCCATCTCTTCCTAGAGATGTTTCAAGGTTTGCTTTGTTCACTCTTTTACAAAAGCTCTTTCTCTTTCCCCAGGAGTGTCTAGAGGGGTGGGATTCATTCGCTTTGATAAGAGGATCGAAGCAGAAGAAGCCATCAAAGGGCTGAATGGCCAGAAGCCCAGCGGTGCTACGGAACCGATTACTGTGAAGTTTGCCAACAATCCCAGCCAGAAGTCCAGCCAGGCCCTGCTCTCCCAACTCTACCAGTCCCCCAACCGGCGCTACCCTGGCCCACTCCACCACCAGGCTCAGAGGTTCAGGTAGGCATGCCCACAGAGGGAGGAGCCCTGCTACAGAGGTTCAGAGCTGGGCAAGGGCCTAGAGAAGTGCATGGTTCTGAAGGATGGGGCAAGGGTAAGAGCCTTGGCCCCCAGGAATCACTGTGCAAAACTCCCCACGAGCCGCAGTTTCCACTCCTGTAAAATGAAATGATTGGACCAAGTGCTTGGAACCCCTTTTCAGTTTACCACTGTGACTGAGCGGTAGAAACAAAATTACTGCATTTAACCAAGCAAGAACGTTCAGTTTCAACAAGAGTTGATCACAGATAAGTGACCACATTCAGCAAATTAGACTTAAGGCTGGACAGTGGCTTTTAATAAAATCAAAGAATAGACCAGGAGGCAGATTCTTGCCAGAGGAAGTGGTTTTTCCTGTCCTCTTTTCCCTCAGCAGGTAACACTGTTGGGTTCAGGGAAAGGGAGAGTCTCTCTGGTGTTAACTTGACTCTGTTAAGTCAGACTCTGGGAAAACAAGGAGGAAGATTTTGTCCAAGCTTCAGGCACCTAAACTACAGTAAGCTCCTGGTGCAGTGGGGCATTTCCCTTCTTCTCCTGAGACTTTTCTGAAAGACAAGTTTCTCTCCAAGAAGCCAGTATGACCTTGATGGGCCTCTATTGTGCAAGAGATAACAATATTTTTTACCTGCCCATCATAAATTCTAAATAATGATTTTATTCCACCTGTGTCCCAACTTCCCTTTAATGAAAGGATTTTTCTCCTTGTCAAACTTCACATAGGAAAATAGTAGGTACTTCTATCTAGTGTACTATGGTCCATCTGCCCACAGTGAGGAGAAAAATCAGCCTCTTTAGTGTCCTCCCATGCCCCGTGAATTTGAAATGGTTAATGATTTCATGAAGAGTGCAAGTCATCTAATTTTTATTTTGTGTGAGAGCACATGCAGTATTTATGTAAAAAGCCTCTCCAGCAGGCTTCTAATGGTGGAAACTATGGTTACTACTGCCCCATGGTGTGAATAGCTTGTCCCCAAGTAAGGTGCTGAACGTGAGGAAGATTATAACATAATGGCGCTTTGCTGGGAGGTGCTATTGGGAGGTAAATAGTAAGCTCATTTTTAAAAATCTTAACCCAAAAACTCCCCCAGCCTCCCAAAAATGTGCGTGGTAAGAAGATTTAGTTAATGTAGCTAGGCTAACAGAAAAGATCCGTTCTGGTGCTTATTGTGTGCACATGTATTGCTAATCTGGAATAGAGACCTTTATTCACAAGTTTAATTATAGTAAAAGGTGAACAATTTAAGAAGCCTCCCCTTTTAACAATTTCACACACAATATAAAACTAAATCCACACAAATGTTCTGAGAGGTGGGGTAGTGGGATTAATTCAGACCTTGAAAGAAAAGGAGATTCATTAGACTCTTGCTTTAAACTCCAGCATTGACCTGAACATAAATTACTTGCAGTTGGAGGCAGAAATGGGGAAACTACCGGTGGATGGACTCCTAAGCAGTGGGGAAAGTGTTGAGCTTTTCTTCTTTGAAAATGGAGCATTCTTATTAATAGTTCCATTGAGCGATCTTGCCATCTGTGAGGCATTAACCCAGAGACCCTCCTTCTCTTTGCAGGCTGGACAATTTGCTTAATATGGCCTATGGCGTAAAGAGGTAATTAAAACTCCACAGATTGCCAGATGTCCGTGTTGGCACAGACTGGGGCTAGAATTTTTTTTTTAATTCACTAACTTTACTTTAAAAAAAAAAAGAATCCTTCCTTTTTCTTCCACCAGCATGTCAAATTCTTAATTTTAATTTCAGACCTCAGTTAATTTTGTTTCTTTTAGGGCACACAAAATGTATTTGTGTGTTTCACTTTTTCTTTTATTTGCAGGTGGGCTTCTCCTATGGTTCAGGTGCCACAGCTACCAAGCCCTTGACAATCAGTTCTTTGAATGGCTCCCCTAAGGGGGAAGGCTTTGACTCTTTGCTGGCTGGTTTTGCAAACTTGCAAAGCAACTGTTTTGCATTAGCAATGCCAAGATTCAGTTAGGAGGGCATGTTCCAGCAAATCGGAATTAGAACATTTTGCTAATCATAGTTGACAATCGTATGATTTTCAGTAGAAAAATTAGATTTTGGACTACCAGCTCTAGCCAAAGCATAAATAAATGCATAGACGGCATTCTAACTCCTGCCCCCGCCTCAGTGTGCATTTCAGAGCACATCCTGAGAATGAAGTGTATCTGTGTGCACCTCAGCCAGGGGTTTCTTTTGTTACAGGTTTTAACAGTAATTATAAATCCTCCTTTGGTTATATATGTATGTGTGTTTTAAATTTGCTGTTACTTTTCATTGAAAGCCTTTTGTGTGGGGTTGGGGGCTCAAACAGAGTCAAGGCTTTTGGGGCTCTCTAAATGCAGTCACAAGGGTATTCCAGACTGAGTCTGAAATCTGAATCTTGGGAAGTTAGGTGTGTTATGTCACTGTGTCCATGAGATTCCCATATGTGCTTTTGATAAGCTCCACTGCACTGCTAGGGATGTAGCGTCTTCATCATCTTGCTCAGTAGAGCTGCACACTTTAATTCCCCTTCCTATAGTCAAGGGAAAGAGATGTGATCTTTAATAGTCCGCATCACACTCCCTGTACCAGGCAGTTCTTTCACCACTTGGCCATGCATGGTAAGTACCCTGACTCCGGGAACTGGCACACAGTAGAGGAAGTAACTTGACTGCAGACTTCACTATCAGACCGCCAGCCTCTTGAATCTCAATCCCAGTATCAGTGAGGATAACTGTGAATTATCTCCACATGTCTAGCACACTGTTTGCCTGTTCCCAGGCATTTTACCTCTTTCCTAGCTCTGTCCCATCCCTTTGCTCCTCTCTGACTTTAGTGAGGTAGCACCAAATGTTATGAAAAGAGTGATACTTGTAACCTAGATGAGACCAGGGAATACATAGCTGTGGCATGCGTGCTGACACCTCCTCCACTGCCCCACCCACTAATTGATAACAGCATTCTCTTTTCCTATTGAACCCAGATTTGGATCTAGAGTCCTTCCTACCAAAGTGTTTCAGGTAGCCATCACCAACTAGAGTAGAGGCTCTACTTGCAACCTCTTTGCTGGCCTTGATCTTGGCCTTATAATAAATACTTAGCCAATTCTCTACATATAAACTGAAAGGGGTCAATTCACCTAGTTGGAAGAGAGAAGGTTGAGAAGACAGTCTTCACAAATAACACAGATAGCAATTCGACTTGGATTTGCCCTTCTAATATATGTACCATGATAGTTTTTAGTTTTGTCTTGCTGTTTGTTTTTAAGCAAGAGGGAAGACTGACTTAGTGAATAATAGCAAAAAATAATGTCTATTGTATTGTTATGTCTAGCATATCTTCAGCAGCTATTTGATTATCTAAATTCTAGTTAGACACAGAACTATTCATTAATAGGATTTGCAAATCTCCAAGAATATTTGCTTATTTTTAAAAACAACCCTGGTTCACACACCTTACCCCATGCTCTTCTTTTGTTTCCTCTCCTCCCATTCCCCCAAAATTAAACCCTGACCAAATGATAAGATGCTAGTCAGTGTTTAGGGTCAAAAATTTCTGTATGAGTTCAGTATGAAACAAAATATTCACAAATATTGTTTCTGCTCTAGGCACTAGTAACCTAATTGTTTCATCTGATACATCCATCACAAATCACATGTGGATTTATTTTATCAGACAGTGAATAGAGTCTGAAGGGTCATATTTTTATTTTCAAGATTACATGAAAACTGAGATTTCTAAGCTTAATACAAAAGCAGTTATAATAGGACAAATAACAGTTTAATGTTTTTCTAGTATATAGTGATTCAGGATATATAAATGCATAAACCACTTGAAGCTTTGCTCTAGTGATTCTTAGAAACAAATTCCAGATAATATAGCATCAAGGAGTGATACCTCTTTATTATTATCGGTCAGGTTTTTGGGGAACGCTTTTGAATAAATGCTAAATGAGACATGAGCCACCCATCTGTTTAATAACAAGACATGTCTGTTCATTCTCACTTATCTCCATCCTCAATAATACCAAGAAATCTTTGACAACCACAGGTCAAGGGACTGCAAAGATGGTGGACTTGAGCACTGCTAAGGCTATACCTTAATCTGCCTTAAAAATATAAAAATTCCCAGGCATTTACATCAACCAAAGTTATTTACCCACCCAATCAATAAATATTTATTGAGTGTTTTCTGTGTGTCACTATGTCTGTGAGATTGCCATATGTGCGCCACTGAATAAATGAATAGAGCCACAGAATAAATGAAATAGGGCCCCTTGCCCCAAGAGTTCACTATGTATTGTGGGTATGAGGGGCAGGGTAGGGTGAGGGTGGGATACTCTGTGGTAGAACGATGGTAGAGCCTTGCTCTGGGAGCCGTGGGAGTCCCTGGTGGTTTTTAAGAATTGGCCTCGGTCTTTCTCTCAGCGTGTACATGCCTTAGCCAGTCTAGCCATTCCCGTAGAAGAAATGCCATAGACATTAGTTTTTACATTTTGGTTTTTAAACCCTGAAGACTCTCCAGCAAACACTCACTCAGCCCTCTGCCCCGTGTCTGTGTCTGTGCATCTGTGTGTTATCCATGGTCAGACTGATGTCTGGACCAGTCCCCCCTTCTGCTTGTCCCCCCAGGTTCTCCCCAATCACCATTGATGGAATGACAAGCCTTGTGGGAATGAACATCCCTGGTCACACAGGAACAGGCTGGTGCATCTTTGTCTACAACCTGTCCCCTGATTCCGACGAGAGTGTCCTCTGGCAGCTCTTTGGCCCCTTTGGAGCAGTGAACAACGTCAAGGTCATCCGTGACTTCAATACCAACAAGTGCAAGGGATTCGGCTTTGTCACCATGACCAACTATGACGAGGCGGCCATGGCCATTGCCAGCCTCAACGGGTACCGCCTGGGAGACAGAGTGTTGCAAGTTTCCTTTAAAACTAACAAAGCCCACAAGTCCTGAATTTCCTATTCTTACTTATTAAAATATATATATAAATATATACGAACAAAACACACGCGCGCGCACACACACACACACATACAAAAAAGAGAGAGAAACAAACTTTTCAAGGCTTATATTCAACCATGGACTTTATAAGCCAGTGTTGCCTAAGTATTAAAACATTGGATTATCCTGAGGTGTACCAGGAAAGGATTTTATAATGCTTAGAAAAAAAGAAAAAAAAAAACAAAAAAATACCTTTGATGCATTGAATGTTCTTTCATAGCTGTCGTTGTTGAATATAATATACATAGATAGCAGTGTGCAGGGATTTTTACCCAGCCAGCTAACTTTACTACCTTCCTTGAAGGTGGATCTTTTTAAGATGACCATTCGCTCATTTGAAGAAGAAAAA